TTTGTACTCCCTCAGGAGCTCCCTGCTCTGCTCACCCGTTGCTCTGCCACACGCCTTTAGTGTTTTGCCTCGGTGTTGCGGGGTCAGTCTGGGCCAATCCTGATACTGAGTTTCCAGTGTTGTCTCCAGTAGGGCCCTGGGCCAGCGAGGGACTGTGTGTCTCATAGTAGGATCAACTATATGGACCACTCTGTGCATTGGCTGTTCAGAGTAAGGATATTGTCCTCCAGGCCTGGTGGGCCAGGATGTGCTCCACTCTCTCTTCCTCCCCATTCATTTGCTCCCGTGTGCTCTGATCAGACATGCACCTCTCCCCTAGCTGCAGTTTCAGTGCCTTCCTCTAAAGTAAATTATTCTGGGGGTGCATTGACTTTTTGCATTGTTCTCTTTTCTTCCCACTTGCTTAACTCTGCCCTGATTTTTATTATTTCTTTTCTTTTGATATTGGAGAGGTTGTTCTGTTGACTCTGTTCTGGTTGCTGGAAGTTTTGTGATAGCATATCAGTCATGAGTCTCTCTTCCTTTTTCATATACGCATTAATCACTATCAAACTGAAGTATTTCTTGAAATAATTGTCACTGGAGATGAAACATGACTACCAGTAGGACAAAGCACGATCAAAACCAATGGCTATCAAGAAATGGAAGTGGTCCAGTCAAAGCAAAAACTGACCAGTCAAGAGCAAAGGTCGCATCAAGAGTTCTTTGGGATGCTCATGCCTTTTGGCTTGTTGACTTTCTGGAAGGCTAAAGAACAGTAGTGTCTGCCTATTGTGAGAGCGTTCTGAGAAAGCAGCAAAAGCTTTAGCAGAAAAGTGGCAGGGAAAGCTTTGCCAGAGGGTCTTTCTCCACCATGACTATGTTCCTGCTCATTCCTCGTATCAAACAAGGACACTTTTATCATTCCATGGGAAATCATCAGGCATCCACCTGCTTTGGCTCTTTCGGACTTCTTTTTGTTCCTCAGTCTTAAAAAAAATAAAATCTTCAAAGGGCACCCATTTTTCTTCAATTAATAATGTAAATAAAAGATGGCATTGGCATGTTTACATTCTCAGGACCCTCTGTTTTTAAGATGGGCTAAATGGTTGTGTCACCACATACAAATGTGTCTTGATCATGAGGCTGCTGTTGAAAAATCAAGCTTATACTTTTTTACTTTTATCTCTAATTCCATTTTTCCATCAATGTTTTGATGTCCCCTTGTAGTTCACTACCTAGAGTTAATATAATTGATTTACGCTACAGTCCTTTGAATTGTCTTATTCTGAAAAGGCGTCCATGCACATCACCCGACTGTCAATGGGTCCTTGGTGCAAAAGGAGGTGAGGATCCTGGTTGAAGAGACGACTATAAGAAAGACCTCAAGGACCCCACTGATGTGACATCAGAGACATGGCCGTTGTTTTTTAACAGTCTGATACTGGGGCTGAACCTGTTTTGTCCTGTTCTCTTTCCCCAGCAGAGGTCCGGCCCAGTGGGCGGCCCATCAACACAGCCCGGGAACCACCACTCAGCCAAGCGTCAGGTATGTGTAGTAGAGATCTTTGGCTCAGGAAACTCATGTGGCTTCCTTCATCCTGTTACTCAGAAACCTGCCTATGCTCGCTGAGTATCAGTGAAAGGCCATGGAAGCTACCTTAGACCCTGATCGATTTCCTCACCCACATCCTAACCTCAGCCTGACCTTAGAACAAGGTAAACCTGGCAGAAGCCGGAAATTCATCCAGAGAAAGCTGGGGCCTTTCAAAGCTAGAATTGCAAGTGCTAGAGTTATTAGTCATACAGAGCCAAGCCTCACCGGGAGCTCTATGTCTTGAGTCAAACACATAAAACTCTATGTCTTGAATCAAACACATAAACACCAATCCTGCCCAGGGAGCCACCTAGAAATGCTTTCATTTTTAAGACAGGTATTTGAGTTTCTGAGTGGTGCAAATGGTTAACGCTGGCTGCTTTCCAAAAGGTTTGGGGGTTGAAGTCCAAGTAGAGGTGCCTCAGGAGAAAGGCCTGGCCATTTACTTCCCCAAAACAAGCCCTTACACACTCTGTGGAGCACAGTTCTGTTCTGACACACAGGGGAGTCATTACAAGTTATCATCAATGCCACGGCAACTGATTTTGTTTCGTGTTGTTTTTGTGTGTGCCTTTCCAAGTGTGATGGCCAGCTCTGAACACAAAATTGCAGGCGCGACCTGAGAAGTATGCTCTCATCATAGACTACCTTGTCCTTTTGAATCTTGTCTTTTTCTCTGCCACATCAGCATGTGTGCTAGACGGGAAGGAAGGAAGGACTGCATTTGAAGTCGCAAACTCAGTTTTCATTGTGGTCACTGGCCAGCTGCATCCTTGGGCAAAACCAGTCTCACCTCTTGAGTTTTGATTTATTTTTTCAGTAAAACAGAAATTATAATACTTGCCTTAGACAATTACTGTAAAGACAAATAACAATATAATAGCTGCCACTCTCTGGGTGCTTCAGTGTAGCCCAACACCTGGGACATATGGTTTGCAACATGAGATCGTTTACCCCCTACAGACACCCCGATGAGGTTGGTCTGTTGCCCGCATTCACAGAACCGCAGGTGTGGCCTGTACAAGTGAGGAAGCTGAGACCCTTTCCCGAGGTCAAACAAGTGTTAAGTGATGGAGCCAAGATTAGACTCCAGATCTGCCTGACATTGTGAACCCGTGTCCCCAGCCACACACTGTGTTGACGTGTTAGTTTTCTCTAGTCTTGCTTCTTCCCTTTTTCCATCTTTTATTTCTCTATGTTCCCTTCCCTCTTTATCCCCCTTCTACTTGTACCTTCTCTTTTTTCTTGCTAACTCCCTCCCTCCCGTATTAACTTCCTGCTTTGCTCATATCTACTCTTTCTCTCTTTCCCTCCACCCCTCTGCTCTGAAACACCAGAGGACCACAGGATAGCCAAAGAACTCTACCACACTCCCCATGTTAGACCTGGGGGAGAAAGAAACCATGTAGGTGAGGGAGTGGGAATGGGGCAGCGGGTTTCATCCTTCTAACAATCCCTTTCATGGTCTCCTATCTGTTTCCAATTCTTCTAGTTCCTGGGGATGTTTTTGCCAAGAACTCTCTGTGGAAAGGGGCCTATGAGTACCAAGGGAAGAAGCAGCCAGCTATGCTCAGAGTTACTGGCTTCCAGGTTGCCAACAGCAAAGTCAATGCCACCATGATAGATCACAGCGGCGTGGAGCTGCACCTGGCTGGTAAGGAGCAAGCCGGGTTGGTGAAAGCATAGAGGCTGGTAAGGTTGAGTGGTCACCTGCCTTGGCCTGTCATGCAAGGCTCAGACTCATCTGGTGGGAGGGACGAGGGGGGAAGTCTGCTGTGACTTACTTGATAAAGGCACCACGGAATGAAAGGAAGTTGTCAGACGACAAAGGGCTAATCATGTGAGTGCATTCAGAACTCATAGGTAAAGGCCCGACCCCTATACCCACTACTATCGAATCGGTTCCAACTCCTATCAACCCCATACAGAGTTTCTGAAACTGTCAGTCTTTATAAGGGAGCAGGCAGCTTCATCTTTCTCCCACAAACTGGCTGGGGGATTTGAGCCACGGACTTTGTGGTTTTCAGTTCAGTATCTCCACCAAACCAAAGCCAAACTCACTATTTTAACACACAGCCAGAAACACACTCCTATACTCCCCATATGCCTGCCCTCACAGAATTATACTGCACCCACGGGGTTATAAGCATACCCAACCATTATCTGACACAGTTAAACAGACACCACCATATTGTCCTTCTTACACAAGTACAAGGATCACAATCACCCAAATCCAGTTGCTTACGATCACTTATGCACATTCCCACACAGACTCACTTTCAGCCTACACAAACTCACCTCTGTCCTCACCTACTTACAGGAGTACAGCGCATGTTTATATCAACATCCAGCCACACACAGCTGCACAGGTGTCAGAGGAAACCAGCCTCTAACAACCGAAGGGTCCGTAGGCACAATGGTACGGTGATAACATATAAAGGTTATAGTAAAGTCATAGAAGATAGGAGACATAGAAGAGAAACTATAGGAGTCAGACACATTTCATGGCAGCATGCTCACCTCAGCCCCTCTTGGTGGTTCACGTGGAGGTGGGAAGAGAGAGAGGAGGAGAGAGAGTATATTTCCAATCACAGCTTATATATACTTAGGGGGCGTGCAAGGGCCCCTGATTACATGTAACCACATACATAAGAAGAAGGGGCTGTCCAGTAGGCACATGCGTGCCAGGAAGGGGATGAGCTAGGGGTGTACACACAATAGGAAGGGGAAGGACTAGGGGTACACATGTGACAAGATGGGCAGATCCTAGATTCAAGATGACAACTTAACCTTGATCCTCCTTGAGTTGGCTTTACCTTGACACTGGGCTCTCCTTCAGGGAAGCAATCCACTATCCTTGTCAGCAGGTAATGGGCCCCACTTACAGTGGGTCAGAAAATAGGGTCTGATTGCTCTAAATGGCTGATGCCCTCAAGGAGAGAACCTCTAAGCAGCTGGCTACCCACCATGCACTAGCAAGCAGCATCGTAGGCCTGGCATACAATATAGAAGACAACCTGGGGGAAAACCCTTTTGCATCCCCCGCACATGGAATTACCTTCACACACACACACACACACACACACACCACCCAAATTCAAAACAGGTTTTGAATTTCCCAGATTTTCCAAGTTATAGCCAAACTGTCTTTTTATTTTTAGGAATTTACAAGAAAGAAGATTTCCATCTCCTACTCCAGGTCTACCAGATCACGGGGCCAGTGGAGATCTTTGTGAATAAGTTCAAAGATGACCACTGGTCTTTAGATGGGCATGTAAGTCCAATGAGCTCTCATTCTGTTTGTCCTTGAACTCATCATGCCCCACCCCTCTCCCTGAGCCTGAGATCACTGGCATAGAAGAGACCGGGAGACAGGCGTGGAAACCCCCAGGATGAAGGGGGAAACTTGGGAGGCAGTTTTCTATGGGCCCAGGACTAGGAGCAAGGGAGTTCTCATCTTAATGGAGTGGACACAGGAAAACATAGGAGACTCAGAGCCCAGAGGAGCAAGTTCTGAAATTAGAGCAGAAAGCAAAGTGTTGAGGGCCAAGGGTAGAAAAGTGCATGCAAGCAAGTTGAAGGTTAAGCTGGGTGGGAACAGAGGAAAGCGGCAAAATCCAAGTGACTACCCCAAACGGCTCGCCACATTTGAGGATCCGGATTGTGGATCATTTAGCACAGTTTGAGAGACAGAGATGTTGGCCAAAGAGATTAGCCTTCCTTGCTTTCTCTTGCAGAAAAGACTTGCTACATCCTAGGTCCTCCTTGAGCTGGTCCCCAAGGATGCTCCTTCGCCCATACCTTCTATTCACAGGCAGCAGTATGAAGCCTGGTGCCCTCTGAGAGTGCAGGATTCCATCAACCACCTTCTCTCAGCAGCCCTGATTTGGATTGTTGGGACCAGGAGAGGAAGGGGTGGGTTCAAAGGGAAAGTCGTGGTGGGTCAGGAGTAGTAGAGAGGAGCCAGGTTGCATCCTCATGGACGGGAAGAGCTGGTGGAGGACTGGCAGGAGGCTGGTGACTTTAGTGACTTAGCTATAAAAAAGAAGCACATGCCTTCCCCAAGGGCTGGTCCGTGCATTCAAGGGCATCATCTGGCTCCCCTTGGCTGTCCGCGTACTTGCTGTCATAGTGGGAGTCCAAAAGTTCTGCAGGAACAACAGACACCCCACCCCCACCCCCTGCGCTAGCTGCAAGAAAGAAGAGGACAAGGGTCAAGGTTGGGGGGAGGACCTCAAAGGACCAGGAACCAGATGGGAGTGGAGTTCCGGAGGGCCAGGAGCCGTTGGAGTACTGCCTGAGGCAACAGCCCACCGCCTGGCCGCTGCTTTGGGGCAGTCACCCAGGGCATGCTGGAGGAGGGTAGGGGGCAGTCAGCTCCATAGCCAGGGGGCTCCACCCTGAGAATCGAGCGCCCTGGATTGGAAAGTGCCCCAGCAGCTCAACTATCCTCAGCTGAGGAGCCCCAGGCTAGACATTTGTGTACTTGTGTCTGTCACGTGTGCATCAGGAAGCCGCAGCGGCTGCAGGGGCCGTTATGCCACCACCCAGCCCCTACACATTGGCTATTAGACCTGTGATGAGCTCTGCAAAGCACACTTGAACCATGATATCTGTTCCACGTGGTCCTGAAAGCCTGTCTTTCCCCACCCTAACAATACCTAGAAAGTCCCTAACCCACCATGGCCACACACAAACCCATTCCTACTCATACTGACCCCGTGTGTGGTTTCCAAGTCTAGAAATCTCCGTGGGAACAGGCAGCCTCGCTCTTCTCCTGAGGAGCAGCCGGTGGGTTTGAGCCGCCAGTCATTCAGACAGCAGCCCAATGCCACCAGGGCTCCTTAGCAAGGATCTGGGGCCTCTAGAATGTTCCAAGTGCTTTCTTTATAGTAGCCCACTGAATCCTCAGAGTACCCTATTGGCATATTATTTCCGGTTTACAAATGAGAAACTGGGGCACAGACAAACCAAGAGACTTGACCAGTAGAAAGAGCATTTCTCACTAACACAAGGAGTTGGTGCCTCCGTCCCACCCCCCAGCACATCCAGCTGTTCCTGCCTTGGTGTGGAAAGTGCTGGTGTCTGTGTGTCATCCTATGGGTGGATGGCTGGTGGCACCCCCCATCTGGCAGCATGTGTCTGTGTGTGTGTTCCTGGCCTGGCCTAAGGGGTTCTTGCTCAGAGTACAACACCGATCTTGTTACCTCTACTCCTACCATCACAGGTCTCCTCAGAGTCCTCCGGAGACACCTTCGTCTACCAAGGCTCGGTCAAGGGCCAAGGCTTTGGGCAGTTCGGCTTTCAAAGACTTGGTAACTAACACTTGACCCTTGGAAGTGTGAGCTCATGGGTGTGGGGAGAAACTGTGTCTGTTGGGGTTGAGGGGAGAGGATTAGTGGGGCTCAACCAGCTAAGACAGGGATTCTTCCATTTGAGGGGCTGGGAAATCCTGATAGAAGCTATAGAATCCATCTCCAAAGACAAACACATAGAGACCCCAATTTTAAACCCTGAGGTTCCAGAATCAGTCCCTGCCATGCTACCTGAGCTCAGGTCATCCTCAGGCACCCCCTGTGCCTCAGAGGACAGACACCCTTACGAACTCATGCTTGGGGCTCTCAGGGCCACCTTAACCTGTGGTGTCATTTCCTCCTCAGCAAGGTCCTCAAAGGTTAGCACTGCTGCCCCATTATACAGATGGGGAACCGAGACTCATCAAGACTTCCCGCCCATCTGCTTCCTTGGCATCTTGCCCTGCATCCTTTGGGTTACCAACGCCAAGCATCCTCACCATGGAGATTGCTCTTGGCTTAAAGCCTTAGAGAGTCTAGGGGCAGGAGGGTGACCTGGTTTCTCAGAAGCAATGGAAGAGGAGACGGGAGTCAGTCCTGGAGCCTGGCCGCTGACCCTTGGGTCCCGGGGAGCGCCTGAGTCAAGGCAACCCATTGCATTTTTCCCTAGCTGTGGCCTTCCGTCAACCTTTTCCTACAGGGAGCAGAACTCTGCCTCCTGGTCAGTCCCACTCCTCCCTGCCTTACAGCCCCCTATTTGCTCTTCGCTCTGCGCTCTGAGGGTTCTCTCAGAATAAGGCTGTTCTATCTCCTGCACAAGCACGGCTGGCCTTGCTGATGTTGGTTGCCAATGCACCCCTTGGACAACAGAACCCAGCACTGCCCAGACCCGCACCATCTCCCTATCTGCTGTCTGAACCCACTGTCGCCGCCGCCTGTCAGTCCGTCTTGTTGGAAGTCTTTCTCTTTTCCTTCCACATGGTAGCCCCCTTAACTATGCGAAGACCGTTCCCTTGACCCCCAGAGTCTAACAAACTGGAAAGACCTCAGAAAGTGAGGGGTCTTGTCTCTCTCCTCTCCCCGGCTCGTTAACCCCTAAGGCCAGCCTGTCCTTCTCTGGGCGCCTCAGCCCCCTCCATTAGGTCAGGCTCTTGAGCGGGGCCACCACCAGTTGCTCTCAAGGTGACCCATGTGTGTCCGAGGAGAACCGCATTCCACTCAGGGACTCTTTAGCAGAAGAACCAAAATGAGCAAACACTGTGATCGAGACAGTTCTGACTCACAGCCACCCAATGGGACCAGGCGGAATCGCCCTGTAGATTTCTGAGATTGGAACTCTTGACAGGAGGAGAAAGCCTCGTCTTTCTCCTGTGGAACCGCTGGTGGTTTTGAACTGCTGACCTTGTGGTTGGTGTCTTAATGCAGAACCCCCTGTGCCGCCAGGGCTCCTTCGACATGGAAAGCCCGGTATAATTGTGTTCTAAGCGCACCGATTCAGGGTGAAGGAGACAGGCAGGGGGAGGGCAGACTAAGAGGTGGAAGGTTCCAGCTCCCCATCCCCCACTCGCTCTCCAACCAACCATACCCGTTCTACTCTTACCGATTTTATATTTTGACTCCCTTATAAGGTTTCTTCTACTAAAATGCTTCTCTGACCCAAAGACATCTGGAAACTTCTAAAGGGCTCCTGCATTTTAAGCGTTTCCCCTGAGACATGATTTCAGTTCTTCTCAGAGCAGAGGCCTTCCGGATACAAGCCGGCCAGCACCAGGCCTGGGCGCAAGGGGCAGGTCTGAGGAGTCTCTGAGGAGGATCACTGGGGACATCAGGACCCTGGGAACCCTCTGCCCCCCAGCTGTGAGGGGCAGGTTATATGCCAGGCTACGGCCACGCTTCTGTGGGGCAGGGTTGACGGGAACTGTGGCCTCAGCCTGCCTCTCTGACACAAGTTTTACACGTTGGGACTCTCCAGACCTGAGACTGCTGGAGTCGGACCCCGAGTCCATCGGCCGTCACTTGGCTTCCAACAGCAGCTCTGTGGCCGCCGCGATCCTGGTGCCTTTCATCGCCCTCATCATCGCGGGCTTTGTGCTCTATCTCTACAAACACAGGTGCGGCAGGAGGGTGCCTTGGGGGGAGGGGGAGGGGGTGTCACAGACAGGTCCCAACCCAAAGCCCCCACAGCCCTGTGGCTCCGCAGCGCTGCAGTCCCCTGAAAGGAAGGTCGACTATCCCGCCCCCATTCGTTTTGACTGTCTGAGTCACGCTCTCATTTCCCCAGGAGAAGACCCAAAGTTCCGTTCAATGGCTACGCTGGCCACGAAAACACCAGTGTCCGGGCCACGTTTGAGAACCCAATGTATGACCGCAACATCCAGCCCACAGACATCATGGCCGGCGAGGCGGAGTTCACAGTCAGCACAGTGTGTACAGCGGTATAGCCACCAGGCCTGGCTGCCACCGCCGCCGCCGCTGAGTGCCCCACCTCTGCCAGCCGGTGAGATGGGGGGAGGGGAGGCTGCCCAGCCAGAGGGGGGGGCACCGCAGACCCCACCCCCCACACACACCCCACGACGGGCCCGGACCCAACAACCAGACACACACCAGGACACTCACATGCACCAAGGCAAGGGCTGAGCAGGCAGAACAGTTGTGTGCCATGCCCTGGGCCAGGCACAGGAAAAGTAGCTGACGTTTCATTCGGTGCCACACGCTGTTCTGAGCACTTGATGGGCCGAACTGGTCGAATCGCTGCAGCTTCTATGAGGTAAAAATGACTCATCCTCGCTGCTCTGAGCTGGCCCCCACCCCCAGAGAGCCCACGACACCACAGAGCAGAACGCTGCCTGGCCCTGCACCACCCCAGACTCCGTGTGCGGCAGGACCATTGAGATGCACAGGGTTTACATCGGCTGGTTTTCCAAAGTAGGTATCCAGGCCTTTCTTCCTACTCTATCTTCACCTGGAAACTGCCGAACCTTGTCCGACGTCATAGCAACCGCCAGGCCTCCCCTGACAGATGGGTAGTGGCTCGAACCCAGGGGTCCTGAGCGGATGGTGAAAGTCCTACCACCGACCCACAGGAGAAAACGCGGTGCATCAAATGCGAATCCCTTGCCCCGGATCACACAATCACTATAAACAAGAGCCCTGGTGGCATAGTGGTTATGCGTTGGGCTACAATACGCATGGTTGGCAGTTCAAAGCCACCAGCAGCGCTGGGCTTTCTACTCCCATAACAATTACAGTCTCAGAAACCCACAGGGGGTTGCTATGAGTCTGTACTGACCCAACGGCAACAGTTTGGTTGGGGTTAGGGTCCAGATACCGCCCTCTGACTCACCGGGCTCAGCCAATGATCCCAGTGCAGCATACTAGATAGAGAGCTGGGTGAGTACCAGGAGCTCATCCCCACATGGACCAAGAGCAAGACACAAACACACATGGAGGCTCACAAGTGCTATGACAGGCCCCACTATGGGAAGATCGAAAAAAGCAACAGAAAAGGGTCAAAACACTAACTTTCTTTCATTCTTTCCCCTTTTTGTTCCTGCTTTGCATCGCCTTGCCCTCTTCTGCCCTCCTCCCCCCGCCCACGGCTTCTCCCAGTTTACAAACTCTGCCGTCATCGGCTTGTTCCTAGTTCTCCGGGGGCAGGAGGTGAGCTCCCCTGAGCACGGTGCCCAGTGCCCATCTTCGTCTGTGTCTCGCCTCTATCTGCGCCTCCTGACTGGGCTCTGTCTGGCCCTGCGACCACCTGTACCCACCACCCTGGAGAGGACCCTACCACGCCCTGGCTTGGGCAGTAAAGGGAGCGGGGCTACAGATAGACAAATGTTCACAGATTTGACAATAGCAACTCACCTTGTGTGTGTGTTTGCGCGTGTGTGTAGGCCTGTGCGCGCGCACACGTCTTCATTTGAATCCTTGGGAAGAGGCCAGAGAAGCGTAAACAAAGAGAAATTTGTGTACAAGCTGCCCCTGCCCTGCTCCCCACAACCCAGAGAAGAGTGAAGAGGGAGCTCCGCTCCCAGCGCTGAGCCAACACATCGCCCTCCTTGTTCCCAGTGAAGGTTCCAGGGCCCTGCATCCCACGGTCATCAGAATGCAGAAGCCAGCTCCATCTGACAAATGACAGCAAGGATGACCCCAAGGGCAGAAACAAATCTTAAAGAGTTTAGAAATCGATGTCTTTATTTTTCCAATGTCATTTTCTTGTGTTCCAAACCCAGTGAGTTCAAAATGTATTCTGCGTCCTGGGCCCTGGGAAGGATGAGTAGGCGGGGTGGGGGTGGGGCCAGAATCGGCCATGAGTTCAAGGTCAAGCCTGGCTGAGGACTGGCTGTGAGGAGAGGAAGGGCGTCTGTGAGCCAGACAAGGATGACAAGCCTGGAGGCAGTGGTAGGTGCAGGACCGGAGAGAAGTCTGCCCCAGCCACTCTCCTTCCCACAGTGACCACTATGTATGGAGTGTTTTCTCTGTGCCTGACCATCTAGGTGTATTTATTTCTAACCTTACAACAACCTCCAAGGTAGGAACTGCTATTTTCTTTTTACAGATAAGAAAGTAAGTTCAGAAAGGCAGAGACTGAGACCATACCGTCAACGTAGAGTCGGGATCAAAACCCAGGTCCATCTGACCCCAAAGTCAACTACACCAGCTACCAGAAGCCAGGTCTAGTCAGAGCCCCAGAGACAAGGGAGGAGTTGCTGGAGCTCTGCAGCCAGACAGGTCTGGTAGGCCGGCAGGGAACCTGTGTGTCTTACCTGAAATGAGATCTCAATGCAAGGACCCAGTACCCCAGGTCTTCTGGAACTGGTCCTGGCCCTTGGTGCCCAGCATCCCATGACCACAACAGGCAAAGGACCTGGTAGCTCCTGAGTTTAAAAAAAAAAAAAAGGCATGAAGGACAGTCAACATCCTTTCTAACTTCTTGCAAATGGGTTTGATTTAGTAAAGTGCAGTCGGGACGCTTAGGAGTTAATGTATGACACTTAGTGTCACCAGAGAATCTCTTTCTCTGTCCCCAGGAAGGTCCCTGTGGGCTTAAGCACCCTGTCCACGTGTGGCATGCGGCTTCAGATGTCCCTGTCACATACCGAGTTAGAAAATAGAAGTGCTTGGGGTGCAGTAGCAGGGACATCTGGTTCTTCGACAGATTCTGGGTTTTTAACCAATGAAAGATTGAGAGGGACTAAAATGAAGAGGTTCGACGGGAACTGGCAATGATAGGAGCCTACCCTTGTCCGCTCACCCTCTGTGTCACACTGTCCATGGGCTGGGCGGGAAGGCACCAGTCCAGCCACACACACACACACTCTCATCGCTGTCTTTCCCCGGAAACGAAGCAGCAAGCTCCTTGGTTGCTCCCTTCTCCCTTGTGAGCCTCCTTCCAGACCAACCAGTGGGTTCCTCCTCCTGCCCCACTCCCCATGCCTCCTTGTGAGTCCCACGAGGTGCCCAAGGAGCATCTGCTGGTGGGGCACCCAGCACCCAGTGTGCATCACCCCCTGCCACCTCTGACCTTTTCTCTCAATCTCCAGAGGCCCCCCACCCACCATTCACGCCATACTAGCCGCCACCATCCCATGAGAAAACCTAAAAAGCAAAACAAAAAAAAATTTTTGTACAGAGATATATTTTATTATACAAAGTTTGTACAGTACCAAAAAAGAAAGAAAAAAGGTGTACATTTTTTTTTCATTATTGTAGGTAAATGGTAGTGGAAGCCTTTTTGTAAATGTAATAAAATGTATAAATATGGTTTTCAGAAAACATCCAGTGCTGTAAATATGTAACTACACACCTTCTTGGCTTGTCTGCAATATATACATTTAATTTATCTGTCTCTGTATATGAGGCTTCCTCCCCAACTGGGTCCTGCATTATGGTACTTTCCAGAATTTGAAAGCAATTTTAAATTTTTTGAATTCAAATAAAATATAAATTTTTGCATTGGTTTTCTTACATTTTTACGGACTCTCATGACTAAGGGCACTTGTTTTGGTGTGGGGTGTCAGGGGGAGGTGGAGATGTATTTTGTAGCGACAGGCCAAGAGTGGAAGTGCCACAATCCCTGTTCTAAGCTGCCTTGGCCTGACCCTGACCCTGACCCTGACCCTTGTGGGACGGACACATGGAGCACCATGGGAGTGGAGAGCAGGTCAACCCAGGGCAGAAACCTGCCATCGGGACAATGGAGCTGCTCTTCTTCAGAGGACTGGGTGTTTGACACTGGCTACACATCGGGCTCCTAACCACAAGGGCAACCGTTCAAAACCACCAGCAGCTCTGCAGGAGAAAGATGCAGCTTTCGACTCCTGTAAAGCGTTAGGGTCTCAAAACACCCCCTCCACCCCCACCCCACCCCAAGGCACTCCTCCTGTGTCCTATAGGGTTGGTAGGAGTCGGGATTGACACAATGATAGCGAGTTCAGCGTTTTTGAGGTCAGATTCTAAGGATCAAGTCCAGAGAGCAGGTGAACCAGCCAGCAGAGTTTCCATGGTAGAAAAGGCTGACCTAAGGAGGCTCTGCTAGGAAAGGCAGCCACGAAACACAAAGTAGGGAGGGAACGAGAAGATGGGTACGAACTCTCATCCTTTCTCCTCTTAAGCAGAAAGCTGGTCCAGACACACTTCAGTCTTCTGAACCCCACAACCCTTCACTCTTGCACTGCGCTACAGCTCCTCCTGTGGCCCAATCAACCCAATACAATGAGTTAGCCACACTGCCCCAGTGTCATGAAAGGCACCTTGTCTGGGACATAACTTCTGACTTTATCTCCTGACCCAGTGAAACCAGGTAGGCCCAGCCCTCCCATCAGATTGGCTGAACTTTTAGTTCAGGAGTTAGAGTATTATAACACATGAGCCCCAGTTGGATCGGAAGAGCCAAGTGACAAATATTAAGTCTAAATTCAGGATTTGCCAAAGCGTATAATCTCTTTCCATGAAATGGCAGACAATGTCTTGACACTCCTACAAGTGAGGAAAATGTCAAGCATCATGCAATGGCAGACTTTCCTCAGCTTAAAGGC